CCATGGTCTGCTAATGTACATACGACCGGTCAACAGACGGCAGCCTGCATCTCCATCCGTGGGTGGAGTCTCTTTGGCGGGACGACAACAAAGTGCCTCTGTTGTCTGTCCCCAGCCGCCTACCCGCCTTGGCTGATGTGTTGCGTTCGCTTCAGTCTACACGCGTGTTGAAACCGAGATTCGAAGTCTGACAAATATTGATATTCAGTTAGTTAATAGTTCCGAAGCGAAATGAGTGATAACGAAATTACGAATCTGAGTGTAGTAGAAAATTAATGTTAATAAATGGAGCAGTTAATCACCGTGAAGAATGTCGAAACATGCGGTGTGGGATTACTTCACTAAAGTCGATCCTGATGCAAGCAAGGCGCAGCAACCTGCTGGGCGAGAATGCGGAAAAAAAAACTGTTGTTTCTTAACTACAACATTCGTTTGTTTGGATATAATTACTAAGTAAGTAACACCTAAAGATTTGATATTTAGCGACTCTTACTGCAGGCTCTGAATGATTAGTTCTAGATTTATTTTTAATTAAAGTAGCATTGCATCATGACATATTTCATAAATCTTGTGTTCGGGAACTTCGGTTATATACCTTACTGTTTCGGTCTCGGTCGAAATTGTAGTTAAACTTTCGGCTTCGGTTTCGGTTTCGGCCGAAAGTCAATTTTTAACTTTTGGCTTCGGTTTCGGTTTCGGCCGAAACCAGAAATTCAGTTTCGGTCGGCCTCTAATGGCTAGAGTGCTTCAATATTCCTAACTAGTTTGGTGCCCTCAAAATGATCTGTCACTTCGTACTTGTCCCCACCTCTCTCGGGTTCTACACGTACATCTCTCCGTGTCTCTGTCGCTCTGGATTTATGTCTCTGAAAGTGGGGATTTGTATTTGCGTCCTCATCATCATCACATAAGATATCAAGGACAAAAGCTGCGAGGCTGCCCAGGACATGGAAGTTCTACGTGTGATCCCCCAATTAATTCATTACATTAACCAAACACCCCCCACCAGTATAGCAGGAGGATCCTCCTCTTGAAAAAGAGTATTGCAACTCAATGGCGATGCTCTTTGAGTTTTATGTAAAATTAAATAAATATAAAATTAGACATCAGCACTGTACCCTAGTACCGAAGCCACTACAAGGAAGTTGGAAACATTTTTTGAAAACTATCAACATTTAAAACGATAAAGAGAAATGATAAGGAGAATATACCTCCGTCAGCCTAAGGATATTTTTGTCACAGTAAACTATCAGTGCATTATCACGTCATGTAACCACCATGATGCCGTCAATTTATCCAGAAAAGTTTTGCGAAGAACCTATATTATTGTGAACTTTAATTATTACGCCATGGATATGTCATCAGATAATATACTTTCAGGGAACAAGGTGAGCAAGGATAGGTACGATCTTTATTTTTTTTGCAAAACGTAGCACGATATGATCCTCCCCATCCCTCTCTTATATCGTCGGATATCGTACTACGAATATATCGATATAACCCGTAACACGATATATATCGCAGCATCGCCACATCGCTGCAACCCAACTCCAATCTCACGACGCAGGAACGTGGAGGGCAAATCCTCTGGTGACGCACGTGCAGTGTAGTGAGGCAAGGCTGGGCTCTGAGGATGGAAGATCCGAATGGTGCGGTTGTGATGTAGTGGTGCTGCTGCTGGTGGTGGTAGTAGTGGTTGTTGTTTGTGGTGTGGTGGAGTTTTTATTGGTGGGGAGCGCGTTACGCTACGCTGTCGCTTACACGAACCCAGCGGACCCGAGTTCGATTTCGGCTCACGGCCAACGCCGGTGACGATTCCTTGAACCGGTAACCTGGGCCCCCCCTAAGTCGACTCGGCCTCAAATGAGTAAATCTGGTGCGTTGCGTAAACGTCGCCACACGGGGGGAGACAAAAGACGACCACGGTGTGGTTCTCCCCCCCCCCCTCGTGAGCTAACAGCACATGCCCAACAACAGCTGGTGACAGGCTATACGGGGGATCTTTGTAATGTAGTGGTGTGGATTTTGCTGGTGCAGTCAAATCCATCCTTCCAATGCATTGCAAGACACCCAATGTCGCCACCAATATCGTTCTCCCTCATCCTCTGTGGGGTTTTTTTTCCCCCTCTCCCGAGGCTGCGTGAAGCCTCAGACAAGTTAATCGACGCGCTGCGAATTTAATATAAATTATACACGTGGGAGTAATCGAGGAGAGGGAACAGTCTCAGTTTCATTTATTTTGGTATAGTCCTGTGAGCCATTCGGCTCTTGAATCGGGTGCAACTGCAACAAACAAAAAAAAACATGAACAAGAAAACTTCTTAAAGTGACTATGTGTGACTGCGCAAACAGAAAAAACCATGAAAAAAAAACAGCTAAATCTTCCAGAAAAAGCACCGTACACCAACGCTGTGTGCAAAAATCCCAGTGGGATGCAAGTCAAACAAAAACAACAACAACCACCACAAGACAACTTAGATTAAATGCGCACGAGGCAGTAGAAACAAATAGGGTCGAATGTTTGATCGAATTTAAAACTGAATGGTGACGAGACGAATCATGGAATGGCTGGGAGTGGTGGTGGTGGTGCAGAATGAGATTCCCAGTTCCACTCCATCCCACGAGCCCCCCCCGCCCTCGATCTCTCCACTCCGCCTTGGCTATAGCGCCCCCCCTCAATCCTTCCCGTACTCGTTCACGGCCGCCATATTTATATCTCTCCCTTTTAGTCGCTCTCCCTCTCTCTCTGCCTCGTCCTACTCGTCGTCTCCATCTCTTTCTGCTTCTCGCCCCCATTGCGCTCTCTCTCTGCCTCTCACACGCCTTCCCATCTCTCGCATACTCGCTCGCTCTCCCTCCCCGGCCCACCCCACCAGACCCTCGAATCTTCCCACCCCTCTCCCCACCCCTCTCTCACCCCTCTCCCCACCCCTCCCACCCCTCTCCCCACCCCTCTCTCACCCCTCTCCCCACCCCTCCCACCCCTCTCCCCACCCCTCCCACCCCTCTCCCCACCCCTCCCACCCCTCTCCCCACCCCTCCCACCCCTCTCCCCACCCCTCCCACCCCTCTCCCCACCCCTCCCACCCCTCCCACCCTCTCCCCCACCCTCTCCCCCAACCCCTCTCCCCCCCACGCCCTCTCCCCCCACCCTCTCCCCCCCCCCTCTCCCCCCACCCTCTCCCCCCACCCCTCTCCCCCCACCCCTCTCTCCCCCACCCCTCCTCCCCCCACCCCTCTCCCACCCACCCCTCTCCCCCCACCCCTCTCCCCCACCCCTCTCCCCCCACACCCTCTCCCCCCACCCCTCTCCCCCACCCCTCTCCTCCCCACCCCTACTTCCCCCCACCCCTCTCTCCCCCAACCCCTCTCCCCCCACCCCTCTCCCCCCACCCCTCTCCCCCCCACCCCTCTACCCCCACCCCTCATCCCCCCACCCCTCTCGTCCCCCACCCCTCTCCCCCCACACCCTCTCCCCCACCCCTCTACCCCAGCCCCTCTCCCCCCACCCCTCTCACCCACCCCTCTCCCCCCCACCCTCTCCCCCACCCCTCTCGGCCCCCACCCCTCTCCCCCCACCCCTCTCCCCCCAACCCCTCTCCCCCACCCCTCCTCCCCCACCCCTCTCCCCCACCCCTCTCCCCACCCCTCTCCCCACCCCTCCCACCCCTCTACCCACCCCTCTAACCCCTCTCCCCACCCCTCTCCCCACCCCTCCCACCCCTCTCCCCCACCCCTCCCACCCCTCTCCCCACCCCTCCCACCCCTCTCCCCACCCCTCCCACCCCTCTCCCCACCCCTCCCACCCCTCTCCCCACCCCTCCCCCCACCCCTCTCCCCACCCCTCCCCCCACCCCTCTCCCCACCCCTCCCACCCCTCTCCCCACCCCTCCCACCCCTCCCCCCCACCCCTCCCACCCCTCTCCCCACCCCTCCCACCCCTCTCCCCACCCCTCCCACCCCTCTCCCCACCCCTCCCACCTCTCTCCCCACCCCTCTCCCCACCCCTCTCCCCACCCCTCCCCCCACCCCTCTCCCCACCCCTCCCACCCCTCTCCCCACCCCTCCCACCCCTCTCCCACCCCTCTCCCCACCCCTCTCCCCACCCCTCCCACCCTCTCCCCACCCCTCCCACCCTCTCCCCCACCCCTCTCCCCACCCCTCCCACCCCTCTCCCCACCCCTCCCACTGTGGGCGGAGCTTGCAGCCCGCATGAGTCACTCGCCCGGAGCGGAGCAGGGGAGGATTTGGGTGTGGTAACTTATGCAGCAGACGCGGACACACACACACGGACAGATACCGTACACGTACCAACTTACACACACGGACAGAGTACGTACAGGTAATATACACACTGATACACACACACGCAGATATACATGTTCAAATATACACACAGATGCGTACACGCAAAAGATATATACGCGTACTGTATATACTGTACAATACTCACAAACACATGCATAGAGATTTACACGCATAGAAACATACACACGGATATACATGCACAGGGATATACATGCACAGGGATATACATACATATAGAGTCCACCCCAAGACTCACACGCACATTCACGCATGTCATCCACCACCACACCCACTCACCGCTTCAACACGACGTCCCTTTAACTCGACAACACACACGCAACACCCCACGCTCACGTCTATCGCCCATTACACACATTGGGGCCTCTTTCACGGCAACATTATCAGGTCCAGGCTAGGACGTTAACCCCCCCCAACACACCCACACCTCCCCCCAACCCACCCACACCTCCCCCCCAACCCACCCACACCCCCCCCCAACCCACCCACACCTCCCCCCCAACACACCCACACCTCCCCCCCAACCCACCCACACCTCCCCCGTCCCACCTTAACCACACTGCCTTTGGTCCACAGTGCTGCGTTGTGGGTGGAGGTGAGGCTCGCTGGTGGGTGGGTGGAGGCTCGCTGGTGGGTGGGTGGAGGCGTGTCATTGTGGGTGGAGGTGAGGCTCGCTGGTGGGTGGGTGGAGGCTCGCTGGTGGGTGGGTGGAGGCGTGTCATTGTGGGTGGAGGTGAGGCTCGCTGTTGTGGTTTGGAGCCTGTCGTCTTGTGGGTGTGCGAGCCCTCGACCTCTCACCGTTCGAGATCACTGCTTGCTTGCCCGTCACCACAGCTGCTGCTGCTCCTGCTGCTGCTCCTCCTGCTACCACGACAACGAGAGAAGAAGCAGGAGAGGGAGTTGAGTGGGAAGGTGAAGTTCCATCATCGGCTGAGAAACCATGCCGCAACTGGGCATCACCGCGCGTCTCCAGCGCGAGCTGCAGAGGGCTGACGGCGTCGGGGCGACTTGCGACAGGGCGAGCCAGTACCTGGGCCAGGACTACGAGCGACTGCGCCAAAGATGCCTGGAGAGCGGAAGCCTCTTCGAAGACGACCGCTTCCCCGCCGCTGCGTCCACGCTGGGCTTCAAGGAGCTGGGGCCCGGTTCGTCCAAGACCAGAGGATTGCAGTGGTGCAGACCGCCGGTGAGTGGTGGTTGGTTGTTTGGTTGGTTGTCATTGTTGTGGCCGACATAATAATAATTGTTGTTGTTGTTGTTCGTCGTCGGCAACGCACGCAAGCGTGGTCAGTGGCAGCGTCGGGCAGCATGTGATGCATCAGCGTGATGTTGTCAATAGTTGCAGGGTCATTCGTGTCAACACCGTAATGGGTAATATACTGTATACTGAAGCAGCAACGGCGTCATCATCGCTGACATGGCCACGGAAATGGTCGGCATCATCAGCAGCGTCGTTAATAATAATAATGTTGTTGTTGCAATCATCGATAGCAGCATCATCATCATGATCATCATGATCATCAGCGGTAGGCAGCATCGCAACCTCGCTTGCACGACCGTCGTCATCAGCAACATAATGTGCATCGTCATCAAGCTGATCAAAGCCATCAGCATTGTCAAGATGACTACAATAATAATTAAAGGCAATAGTTTACAATATTATAAAAGTGTTTACATATGATAATAGGGTTTTTCCCCCCTTTTTTCTGGCAACAAAACAGTTGTTGAGATGTTAAAACACCAAACTGAAACCTTTTACGAAGAATCATGTTTGCATTGTGACCACGATACTTGTGGTCAAAATGCAAACAAAAAAACATACTCTGATAATATGATGCATTGTCTTTGAAACTGATTGGTCCACACCAGAGACAGCTTTCCTTGTTTCAAAGACAATGCATCATATATTATCAGAGTATGTTTTTTTGTTTGCATTCTGACCACAAGCACTGTGGTTAATGAAGACATGATTCTTTGTAAAAGGTTTCAGTTTGGCGATTTAACATCTTAACACAGCTGTTTTTAAGCAAGAAAAAAGGGGAAAAATCTATTATAATATTTTGGTACTGCCAAAGGAGGTCCCATGAAGTTTACATATACATTGACTTATTTTGCAGCTCAATCTTTCATATTTACTACTATATTTACCCAAGAATGTCAGTGTGTAACGCGCGTGACGTCACTCCACGTCGGCCAGCCCCCCCTCATTAATAATCATGAGCGGGTGACGTCCTCCACATGGGCCCCCCCCCCTCATTAATAATCATGAGCAGGTTACGTCACTCCACATCGAACAGCCCCCCTCATTAATAATCATGAACAGGTGACGTCCTACAAATGGACACCCCCCCCATAAATAATAATTAGCGGCTGACGTCACTCCACATGGGGGGGGGGCGAGGCGCCTCCTCCCCCCTCCTGGGCGTCAACTGACAACCCTCACTACAAAGGCAGAACCCTCATCACGTCACGTGATCTCCTTAACGCTGTTGAGACATTGAAGTAAAAAGGACGTCATGATGAACAAGGGATTACAACCTTAAAATTAAATAAGTCTGTGTCACCGCGCCCTTACAAATTGCACACGAATGGATGCAATGCATATCACGTCGCGGTCTGCATTTTCGCTTGCAAGTTTCAGATTTACTGCACGACACCCACCCATCCTTGGACGGGCAAAATGCTAGTAACCTAAATACTTGGAGTGGTGACATCACCTGATGACCATGACACATCGCATGCTATCACCTGTGTTAGTGAATTGTGTTACGAAGAAGGGCCATTGCCAAAACGTCGCCTTTTGTATTGTGTATATATGTATTTTCTACTTTTAAAGTCACGGTGTTATTGACGACTGTGATTCGTTTTTTTGCGTGCGTTAATTGTGCATTGTGCGCATCAGTGGCAACGCAGCAGCAGCATCACTAGATAATGTTTGTTCATGAGTTGGAATTGTTTGGCTGACAGCCACAATGCACAGGCCATATCTTATTGTATTGTTGAAATAAAATGCCCTTATAAGCGGCTGTCAGGTTTTGAAAAAAATATTTAAAATCCAGCAAATGTAAATATGGGTGGAACGGTGGGACAGCGGTGAGCGCACTGCGTGAGTAACCCATACGGTTTTACCCCGTATTATTGTACAGGGAAATTGAGTTTTCAGATCCATACGGCGTGTTTCTCTCGTGATGGGACTTTGTAGGATGAACGTTGAGATTTATAAGGGCACAGGGTGACCAATAAGGTCTGAATTGGTTTAACACGTAGGCTTTCACGACCAATATCCATAATATAGGTTTTTTGGGGGTTAGATCGTGTAAATATATAAATGTGTCGTTAAACCTGCCACCACCTGACACAGCCAGCTAGTAAGGGTTGTCACGTAAACAGAACGTGCCAATTCCTCACTGGTACAGCACAGCGGTGTGTTGGAGAGCCAGATTGTAAATGGTAGAGAGCGGTGGAGTAGTGGTTAGCGCGCAGTGCTTCGAACCAAGGGACCGGTCCAGGCGCTCCCCTAGGTCGACTCACCCTCAAATTAGTAGCTGGTGCAGTGTGTAAAATCATCACCACTGGGGAGACAAAGGCGGTCGGGCGTGGTGCTGGCCACCCACCCCCCTCGTGTACCGTGCTGGCCTTCAGAGGTGCTACTCGCTAACAGCACTTGCCACAAGTTTGTTCAGGCTATACGGGGGGGGGGGGGGGGGTCTTTGTACTTGGTGGCTCTGCGATGTCCTTGCCCTAAGACTGACTGCGTTCTTCCCGTGTTTTTTCTCCAGAATATTTAACTCCAGAATATTTTACCATTGTACATTTTAGAGAGTTTAATTGCACGCGACAAAATGTGCGCACACGTTTTAATACTACTAGCGGGTTATAAACGTCCTCATGGGGTTTACCTGTTCATGACTGAGGGTCAAATAGGACTTTCATTTACCTTTGGCGGGCCACGCAATTTTCACGTACATAGCAGGAAGCCCTTGCAGTGAGAGAAATGGCCGAGTACACTAAACCTCCAAACACAATGTTCCAAGTAGAATTTAAAAAACGAGACATCCCTTTTGTACCCAATCCATGTCGCTATGATGCTTGTGGTGACTAGATATCGTTTGCGGGGCTATCGTTAAGTGGTAGGCCTCATGTGGCCATGGGCCATATAAATCGAAGACATGGATTTTGCCCCAATAGAACGTTGAGATTTATAAGGGAACAGGGGGACCAATAAGGTCTGAATTGGTCTGTAATAAGGTAGGCACTGATAAGGTATTGACAGGTATGAGAACCCGACCACCAGAGTTCTATGAAGTATGGTCAAACAGCTTCCATGAGCAGACAGGGCGGGGGTCGTCTTTTCTCCAGCAGTTGATTGACAAAGGGCCTGTACATTACTAAAGCGGACAAATTATAAATATACAATGAATGTGCCCACCGTTTCGTACGGCGTCTCCAGATGCGGTTGTATTGAGATGTGCTAAAACAGCAGTAACATCCGTTTGGCTTTAAATCGCAGTTGATGGTCTGTACACATATACACACGACTTCTTGGCATTGGTAAATCCACCCCACATCCATTTCCTTTAGTGGTGTCGTCCAATCGGCGGTCTGGTCCAAGTGCCCCATTGGTTGGAGGCGATACCATCATGCGCGTGGTGGAGAGGGGGGGTTTAAATTTAGTGAGGGGGGATGGTGAACCATTACACAGATGTTATTTTTATATATTTTTTTCGTCTCGTATTAGCTCTCCGAAGTTATAGCGACTCCGGCAGCTTAAAGTGACGTTCAAATAAAACGTCCTAAGTGCATTACAAGTGTATTAAAGATATGCTTTCAATACGGGATAATTTAATATGTGTAACTCTCAGGCCGAGCAGTGTTAGCGAATTCTGAAGTCGCTTTAAAAGCTTCTTTATCACCACTCGGGATGCACTTTGTTGTGACATTAACTTAAGGCACTAAGTAGGGTTTGGTAGCCAATACAGCGATACACGTTTGTTTTTTAGGGTGAGGCCATGCGGTTCGTTTACGCCAACATTCCCCTAATAAACTCATACCGTGTCAACCCATATGGTTTACCCCGTATTCTTGTACAGGGGAATTGTGTTCTCAGGTCCATACGGCGTACAGCCATTTCAATACGGGCAAACAGTAGTTTTATATATTTGTGTTATGTTTCTCCCTTGTGATGGGACTTGTAGGGATGAACGTTGAGATTTATAAGGAGCATGGGGTGACCAATAAGATCTGCATTGATCTGTAATAAGGTAGGGCACTGATAAAGGGTTGACAGGTATGTTGACCCCTCAAACACCCGGCAAGGCGGTACAAAGAGATTATTTATACGGATTCATGAATTGGATCCGTTTCTGGCCAACAAGCAGAGTGTGCAGGGACACTTTCGGCCAATGTTGGTTCAATGGTTCCAACCAAATGGTTCCAACCACGTTGGCAACGTTGCACGCTTTACCGGGTTAAGTTTTTCTTTTTCAGATTAGTTGTAGCCTTAGCGTCTTTGACATGAACGCTGGTATCAGTTCGAAAAAGATGACATGGGTTTTAAGAGCTGCTGTTAATGGGTACAAGGGTTTCTTTCGTTCACACGAGGAATGCCCGTGAAGTGAGTTCCTTATCACGCTGCGGTTCTGCCTTAGAATACAGTATATTTCGCAATGCTATCATAAATGTAGATACACTACCACCACATCAAGGTTAGCTTAATCAATAACGTGCAGTGGGATTGCCCCTGTAATGTGTCTATACTTTGGTTGTGCTTTACTTGTTTGCATGTAAAAGTTCAATTTTTTTTAAATAGCGGGGTTTTTATTACAGGAAAACACCACTTTTATGGTTTGATAATGCATGTGTCAGGGTTGTATTTATGGAAACCCTTTTCCAGTATTAAGATTAAAAAAAGGCTTTATCCATTCTGACATTATACTTGCCCCAACAGTCTGTTCATACTACACGGAGGATCTTTGTCTTTGTACGCAGTGGAGTAGTGGTTCGCGTGCAGTGCTATGAATCCAGTTGGATCCCCGCTCAGCCTCAAATTAGTACCTGGTGCAGTGTGTAAAATCATCACCACTGGGGAGACAAAGGCGGTCGGGCGTGGTGCTGGCCACCCACCCCCCTCGTGTACCGTGCTGGCCTTCAGAGGTGCTACTCGCTAACAGCACTTGCCACAAGTTTGTTCAGGCAATACGGGGGGGTGGGGTCTTTGTACTTGGTGGCTCTGCGATGTCCTTGCCCTAAGACTGACTGCGTTTTTTCCGTGTTTTTTCTCCAGAATATTTAACTCCAGAATATTTCACCATTGTACATTTTGGAGAGTTTAATTGCACGCGACAAAATGTGCGCACACGTTTTAATACTACTAGCGGGCTATAAACTTCCTCATGGGGTTTACCTGTTCATGACTGAGGGTCAAATAGGACTTTCATTTACCTTTGGCGGGCCACGCAATTTTCACGTACATAGCATGAAGCCCTTGCAGTGAGAGAAATGGCCGAGTACACTAAACCTCCAAACACAATGTTCCAAGTAGAATTAAAAAACGAGACATCCCTTTCGTACCCAATCAATGTTGCTGTGATGCTTGTGCTGACTAGATATCGTTTGCGGGGCTATCGTTAAGTGGTAGGCCTCATGTGGCCATGGGCTATATATAGTGAAGACATGGATTTTGCTCCACTAGGTGACCATAGGCGCCCCCACCCCAGTCCAAATGTCAATTGCCCTGTTAGTCACTTGAATGTTTTTTTTTTAACTGAACAATGTATTGTTGGCTTGATGTTTGTGAAAATCGAGTAATCTTGACAATTTGACATTACCCATGAACCGTTAAGACAAGGAACTGCAAGTCCACACACTCCGCAAGTTGCTTCAATTTTCCCTCCAACCCTCCACCCATGTCAATTGCCATGAATCTACCTGCATTTCCATTTAAACATAGTTTTATCATTTTTGTCTCCTTATGTATTACCTGTACTACGTCGCTTAGTCTGTCTTATTAGAAAGTAAGGTTGTATATACAGTAACAAAATAAAAAAAATTGTATTCACATAAGCTGTACATAATACATTTTTACACTCCACTCTACTCGATATTAACCGATGAATGGTTGCACCCCTACCGTGTGTCCCGTGCGCAGGATATCTGCAGCAACCCGCAGTTTGTGGTTGGCGGTGCATTACGCACAGATATCTGCCAGGGAGCTCTGGGTAAGTCCACCCCTTCCCCCTATATTATCATCGTCAGCCATAATCTATCCACTTGCGGTGCCACGATCCATCTAGCGCCTTTGCAGGATCGGATTTTAATCGCTCCACCTTTGCGTGGACATCCACTGTAAGGGGTGGGGGGGAAGGGGGCGGAGTGATTTTCTTTGGCTGCCACTGCCGTTGGTCTCAGCCACACACGGGCCATCATCCCATCTGGCGATGTATCCGTGCCTTATTCCACTTCCTCTTCTTTACAGCAAACATTATGTCTCTGACATGAGTGTGTTCCCTCGTCCATTAAAGAGAGACGCATCATCTGGGCGACCTTCTACCGCCTGTCCCCTGCCGCCTCCCCCGCCACACAATATACTCTCCATAAAATCATTATCTTTTAGACACACACCTCGTCTGTCCATCGGGTCATATCAATAAATGTGGCCCTTGACCCGGATACAGCGAGTCCTCGTTTAACGCAGGTATTAGATGCGTTCCTGAAAAAGAGCTGCGGTAAGTGAAATCGCGTGAACTCAAAACAGTTTCCTCATAAAAAAAATATAACAATGATAAAGTTTGTCGGGATACGATATGCGCACACAGTAAAACGGCGGGGCAAATAACCGAGGGTATGCCGCCACATTACTGTGTCATTCCCCGTACTGTATCATAACGCTCAGCCGCACTGCTCAAGAACGTCATTCGTCATCAACCGCTGAGAAACCGGGTTATAACGGGGCACGTTCTGCATTATAACGGTGTGCGTTGTGTGAAAAAAAATCCCCCAATGGAAGAACTGCGTTACAGCAAAAACGTGTTGTGTGAATACGCGTTAAGCGAGGATTTGCCGTATCTTGTGGGCAGCTCTCTCAACCCTGACTGTTTTTTCCCCCGCTCATCTCACCGATCTGGTGGTTCTGTGTCTTGGTGAGCCACGCGTCGGCGGGCCAGTTGTATGTATGTTGAATTTCTTTCGCACCGTACGTGGCCAACCGTGCTAATTGGAGGTGCTTTCATCAGTGCAAGCACTTTTGCGGGCCTCCAGTTAAGGAACCCCTGATTTTAGAGCTGTGCAGACTTCTGTCGACCTTGGCTGAGAATTTGAAACTGAAGAGCCCAGTATAGTTTATTTATGGGACCATTCCTTGCTGGTGTGACTCAGTGAAGTCAGAACTTCTTTGCACAAACACCGCTTCCGGCACTCATGCCCCCCACCCCACAGGCGGACAGATTACATGACGCGGTGTTTTATTTCAGTGATTACGAAACTAAACCCACTTGCATGTAAAATACAATTTAACAGGCAGGCTTTCGCGACCAATATAATCCATAATAGAGATTTTTTTAGGTTAGATCGCGTAAATGTATAAATGTGTCGTTAAAACCCGCCACCAGCATTCAAAATTGTTGAAGCCGATAAAAAAAAATCTTTATTACGTGTCTCCCAGCCAGTTGTTGGAGCGGGTTTGAACCTCAGACTCAAGCGAGGCTGAAACAGGTCCACGGTGTTTCCGTCTAAAGTCTAAACGTATGCTGCAGGAAAACATTGATGGGCTGACGGACTTTCGTTTAGTTTTTGCAATGAGACCGAGCCCCCATCTGTGTATATTTTCGCCTTTAATGGTATTTCCCCAACCCAGCGCTGTGACGCATAATTTCTAACCACTGTACGCCACCTTCCTCTTCCTCCCAGGTCTCTCTCCTGCTTTACTCCCTTCCACCCCCACCTACCACTTCCTGCTGCATATGACTGCACTTGTGTGCACGTGTGACTACACGTGTGTGTGTGTGTATTTGTGAAACTATGTGTGTATGTGCATGTATGTGTGTAACTGCACTCATGTGTGACTGTATGTGAGAATGTGTATATGTCATGCTGCCCTCTATAGGTGTATACGAGGGGATAACAACCCAGAGCTCTGCACAGATGGATCCTGGAATCCCTTGCTTCACTGTCATCTCCTGGCCACTTGGCAGCGTGAATTCGGTGGTGTTCAACGGCTGTGCACCGAATCGCACGTGTAGTTAGTTTAGTTTGTATGAAGAGAGAGTCATATCTATGGGACCTTTTTGGCAGTATCAAGACGATGATTTTTTTTACGAATAGGCTTTACCCCTTTTTGGCAGTGAAACAGGTGTTAAGACGAAATGGGTGTCTATTTGGTGTCCGAACATCTTAACACCTGTTTTTTTTGCGAGAAAGGGTAAAGCCTATATTTTTTTTCAGAGAGTCATATCTTGGATACCTGACCCCAACCAAAACAATGGAAAGGAACAATGTCCAGGTGCAAGGTATATCCTTGCATGGACACGCCCATAGGATGGGGACTGGGTCTCAGTGTTGTGTTTGTATGTGTATGTGAGCGAGTGGACTTGCCTGTATGTGTGTGTGTGGTTGTGTGCGCGAGTGGCTGTTTACAAACCACCCACCTCCCTCGTGCGCTGCGCCGGCCTTCATAGGTTCTTGCTCACAGCACTTGCCCTAACAGTCTGGTAAAAGCTATATGGGAGATTTGTTTCTTTGTTTATAAACCCAACAGGAACATTTACTGCTGAAGTTTTCTATACCGTCGTTATCACTGTGCTGAGAAACCACAGATTAAGTTGGAAGGCAAGTCAGGTAGTGAGCTAGCTGGCAACAACAAGAGTCCAAGTTCTGCAGTCCTCTATTTAGTAAGGTGTTTGCAGCAAGTTAATGCGTGTTTATACAGTAGATAATCGGTTATCCGGTGACTTTGGGGGGGAAGGAGGTGCAGGATTTTCAAAAACGCCGGATAATCACTCAATCATTATTTAAATTAGCTTATTTTTGCGCATGCTTGCATGACATCATGTTTTTAGGTGTTGAGTATATGTTTTATTGGTGTTTTTAATTTGTTTCCTATCAGAAGTTGACACAAATAAACATACAAAGGGACGCGAATAAACATCTTCCTGTAAAAAAAGGTTGCTGTATTTACGGGACCGTACTTACCACGGCAATCTCGAAAGACTCCGCGTGGGGTGATGCACGTTGCACTACTCGGGCTCTTGTTTCAACAACCACGCGTGTGACGATCGCCGTTACTGGGTTACAGCCTCTGGAGCGGTTTTGCCGGTTTCGCCAGATCGGCTCAGGACCGCCGGATGATTTATCGATTATAATCGATGATCACCTGCACTTGGTTCCGTCGTGTTCACCGATGTCAGCTCTGTTACTCGCGCGTGGCTCGGCGTGTTCGCGTTTGGTGGGAGTTGAGATATTTTAAATTGTGGGGGGGGGGGGGGGGGGGGGAGAAGTACTGTGATGCTAGCAGGGGGGGTAGGTCGAGAGTGGTGGGTGGGGATCAGCTGACTCGCCCTGGGGGTACGGAGCGTAACCGTCAATAACATTGTCTCTTACTAGTCAACCGTTTACGGAGACGCCTTTTTAACGCACGAGTGGGAAGAGGAATTAATCAGAAACTCGCCCTCTATTCTCTCTCTCACACACACACACACATGTTCATTTGTTTGTTATATGGATTTAATAAAGCGTGTGTTGGGGGGGGGCGAAGTGCTGTAAAAATGCTGTATGGGATTGTATTAGGACCCTTGAGATGTAATGTAGGTTCAATATTCGGATCAGATAAGGGTTCTGTATCGGAGACGACACGGGACCTTTATAGGAGAATTGGGTTATTTCTGGGATTGAGACAAGTGTTCTATATTAGATAGACTGGTTGTGTGTGGGTGAAGAACAAGGTTCTCTATCGGATGAAGACGATGGTTCTGTATAAAACGAGACAATTCAGTATCAAGACGAGAGCGGGGGACTTCCATATCAGATGAGAAGACGGGCACATGTTGGATCTGTCACTGTTGTCGAGATGTCTTGCTGATAATCGAAACCAATTTTAGACTTTACCTACATTCTCAACTGCTACGGACACACGAGGCCGCTAATTTTATTCGTTTTCTGCAAATGAATACGCGTGTATGTGCCCCATCACGGCAGATTAAACGTAATAATAAATAATGTGTCATTCCTTTATCAATCCACTGCTGGATGAAGGCCTCTTCCCCCCCACACCATGTCGGTCATGGGGGGTTGTTGGCCAACCTTCATTCCGCTTTCAAGTGCTTGTTGGTGACGCTGGTGGTGTATTGGGACTGATCAGGCACGGTTCAGATTTCACTCACTTCTGGGGGGAGGCGGGATGGGGGGGGATCGGTGAGGCAGTGCATGCTGTAGGTGCAACGCTGCGGGCGTACGCACTATTTGGTGGCGCAGCGGTGTTAGCGAACTGGACTAGACACAGCATTCCGAGTTAAAACTAAACCAAATTTTATATATTTTTAAAATTTTACCAGGTGAGGCCTACTGAGCTCTATGTTGCTCTTGTTCAGAAGCGACCTGGCCACAATGGCTCTACGAAGTGGCTTATGATGTGGAAATTTCTAGCAGCAAATTACCCTAAATGCATGTTTCTAAACGTGGAGGGTAAAACTGGAGGACCAGATAAAAAAATCCACGTATGCACGGGGAGAACATGAAAACTCAAAATATACAGACATCAGGGTCGGGATCCACAACCTCCTGTATACCAGGCGATGTAGTTAACAGACTCGCCACCGAGTTCCATTCCTGGCTATGCTTTCAGTAACAAGTACTCATCTTAATCAGTCCTGGGTGTCCCCTATGTTGACTCGGCCATAAATGAGTCCTTTGGTGTCGTGTGTAAAAATATCAATGGGGAGAGAATGGTAGCCGTGCGTGGTGCTATACCCCCCCTCCTTGTGTGCCATTTCAACGTTAATAGGAGCTCACTCAAAAAACGTCACTTGCCCCGTCAGTGTGGCCACCCCCGGGGGATATATCTTTGTGTGTGTGCGCTTGTAATACGATCCTAAACTGTTGACACACCGCTCGCAGATGCCAAACAAAAAAAACCCACTGAAAACAAAACGAATGGAATATTAAGTCTGGCTGCCTGACAGGTTTCACCACTGCAGATGCAACACTGCTCTAATCCCCAAGACCAGGC